CCCCCACCTCAAAATAAAAAATAAAGAGCTACCCAGTTTGGTCTTGAGAGAGTCCAGCAAAGAGTGATAGCTGTGTAGCCTGAGTAAGCCTTCCTTATAGGGTAACATTTGTTTTTCATTTTTTATTTTAATTAAAATTTTTTAAATTGAGAGAAAATAGATATGTAGCATTATATTAGTTTCAGGTATACAACATAATAATTTGATATTTGTATACATCACGAAGTGATCACCACAATAAGTCTAGTTATCAACAGTCATCATACAGTTACAAAAAAATTTTTTCCTTGTGATGAGAACTTTTAAGATTTACTCTTTGCAACTTTCAAATGTGCTAAATATTATTGACTATAGTCACCATGCTTTACATTATATCCCCATGACTTATTTATATTGTATATCTAAGGTTTTTTTAAGTTTATTTATTTTGAGAGAGAGAGACAAAGATAGAGAGAGAGCAAGCAGGGGAAGGCAGAGAGAGGGAATGAGAGAGAATCCCAAGTAGGCTCTACACTGTCAACATGTAGAGCTCAACACAGGGCTTGAACCCATGAACCATATCATGACCTGAGCCAAAATCTGGAGTCCTGATGCTCAAATGACTGAGCCACCCAAGCGCCCCTATATATAGAAGTTTTTACTGCTTGATCCCCTTCACCTATTTCTCTCAGTTCCCAACCCTCTTCCCTGCTGGCAACCACGAATCTGTTCCCTGTATCTATGAGTTTTGTTTTGTTTGTTCGTTTAGTTTTTTTTTTAGATTCCACATATAAATGAAATCAGGCAGTATCTGTTTTTCTCTGACTTATTTCATTTAGCATAATACCCTCAAGGCCCATCCGTGTAGTTGCAAATGGTAGAATTTCCTTCTTTTTTATGGCTTTTTTTGTATATATACCACATCTTCTTTATCCATTCATCCATCAATGGACACTTAGGTCGTTTCCATATTTGGCTATTGTAAATAAGGTTGCAATGAATGTAGGGCATATATCTTTTTGAATTAGTGTTTTCATTTTCTTTGGATAAATACTCAGAAGTTAAGTTGTATGTAGTTGAAGAAGCTACATACTGTTTCCCATAGAAGCTGCACTAATTTACATTCCTACCAACAGAGCACAAGGTTCCTCTTTCCCCACATCCTTGTCAGTACTTATTTCTTGTCTTTTTGATACTAACCATTCTAACAGGTAGGAGGTGATATCTCACTGAATAGCATTTCCCTCATAATTAGTGATGTTGAACATCTTTTCATGTGCCTGTTAGCCATCTGTATGTCTTCTTTGGAAAATGTCTGTTTAGATTATCTGCCTATTTTTTAATTGGATTGTTTGGTTTTTTTACTATTGAGTTGTAATGTTTGGGGTTTTTTAAACAATTTCATTTTCAATGTTATAATCACACTAGGATTTGAAGAAAAAATTTAAACACATATAAACTTCCTAATCTATTATTTTCTTTTTGTTTTCTCTTCCAGCCCTTATTCATTTACATACATATTTTATAGAGTTCTACCACAATATTCTATATTTTACATTTTTACTTCTTTATGTCATGTTTTCCATATTGCTTATCTTTTAAACCATAATTTTAAATGTCAAATTAATGCATCATAAATTGCTTCCCCAATCTCCCATTGTTGGGGAGATTTTTCATTATTAATAACAAAGTTATAAAAACTTTGTACAAAAAGCTTGTCCTTTTGAATTATTTCTTCATGATAAATATCCAGGAGTAAGATTCCTGATCAAAGACCAGAACATTTTTCTGGTTCTTGGTACACACTGTCGTAGCACTTTCCCAAAGCGTCTACTAATTTTAATGTCACTTGCCTTGTGCCAGCACTGGTTTGTGCAGGATTTGCTAATTTTCTAGGCATAACATACTTTATTGTGCTAATTTGCATGTCATTGACCACTAACCAGGTAGACATTTTCCCATGTCTGGGATTCTTGTCTATTGTCTTTGGCTGTTAAGGATCCTCTTTGTCTTCACAGACCAGGAGCTGAGGAATATGAACCTTGACCCTCCTAGTGCTTCCCTGGATGATCACATCCAGACCTTCGAGTCAGATACTGTCCAAAAGACGTAAGTGTTCGAAGCTGTAATGATATGGACTGCTCTACTTTTATTTCATTTTTTTCTTTTTTCTTTTTTCTTTTTAAAGTAATCTCAACGCCCAATATGGGGCTCGAACTCATGACCCTGAAATCAAGAGTTGCCTGCTTTACTGACTGAGCCAGCCAGAGACCCCTCATTTTTGTTTTTAATTATTTCATTTCTGTTTTTTCTAAGCATGAAGATTCTCAGGCTAACTGCATTCTCTAACAGCCAGAATTGTTGTCTAAGAAACGGATTCTTGGGGAGAATTATATTGTGACATGTTTCCTACATAAGCCATATTCTTTGGCTGGGTGGGTGAAAAGTGAAGTTTAACAGTATGGAAACAGCTTTCTCCGTTTGTCTACATAACTGGGATCTACAGACATGCCTAGTAAGGTGATTTCTGTCAATTCAACTTGGTTTCTCCTCTACACATTCACTCTGCTTTGGGTAAAATAAATAATACTTAAAAATACTAAAACTAATTGCTAACATGTAGTAAGTGCTTCCTATGTGCTCACTATGTCCTTCCAATGAGCTCACTAACCAGCAGCTCGGCCAGTCAGCTCCTAAACCCCATTTGGCAGTGGCAGCTGGAACTATAGCCTCTTGTGACCTCCCATGAGCATCAGTGACTTGACAACCTGACTTCACCTGCCTCTTGATGTAGGTGTCCCCTCCTGAGTCAAAAAGGATTTATGATCCCTAGGAACAAAGAAAGAAAGGCACTTGATGGGGGGAGGCAGCTATCTGAAAAATTCCAGTTTTCAACTTTTATACCTCAGTTTCTTCCACAATGGATTTAAATGGCTTACAACAACCTCATCAGCAAAAAACAAAACAAAACAAAACAAAAAAAAAAGCCAAAGTGAGATAACCAAAAAGAAAAACAAATCTTTAATCCAGAGGAAAAGAAAAAAGAATATCAACACCCAACAAAAGTAATTAGAGTCATTGTGACTAAAGATCAGACTTCCAGATTTGATACACAGATTCCTGAATGTAAAAACAAAAAAAGAAGGAGGAGGAGGAGGAGAAGTAGTAGTAGTAGTAGTAGTAGTAGTAGTAGTAGTAACACAGGTTTGTGGTTCTCATTTGCAGCATACCTGTTCCTCAAGGGAAATAAAGATTTTCCTAGCACTAAATTCTAAAGGATACACCTTCTGTGGGTTTTTATAGAGTGACATTGAATGATTTAAAGACCCATGTGTTGGGGCGCCTGGGTGGCGCAGTCGGTTAAGCGTCCGACTTCAGCCAGGTCACGATCTCGCGGTCCGGGAGTTCGAGCCCCGTGTCAGGCTCTGGGCTGATGGCTCGGAGCCTGGAGCCTGTTTCCGATTCTGTGTCTCCCTCTCTCTCTGCCCCTCCCCCGTTCATGCTCTGTCTCTCTCTGTCGCAAAAATAAATAAATGTTGAAAAAAAAACTAAAAAAAAAAAAAAAAAAAAAAAAAAAAAAGACCCATGTGTTTACAGGAAATTCTGTTTTTACCTCATGCAACAAATATTTCTCAAGTTTCTATAGTAAGACCCTGTACTAGCACAGCACAATGAACAAAATATTGATTTGGCTAAAAAATCAAATGCCCAGAACCAGGTTTGGCACACAGTAGCTGCTGCTGCAGCTGTTACTGAAACCACATAGCTATTTCTTAGTGACCTTTTTACCCAGAGAACATAAGTCAGTTATCCTCAAGGCAGATAGTCAGTGACTGCAATTCTACAAGGGATCACACAAACACAGCACATGACCTTTTGGTGGCTAGATTTGACCAAGAATAGAATTCAAAAAAAAAAAAAAAAAGAATAGAATTCAGAGGGCATAAAAGAATGGATGGATAGTTGCATGTTCCTAAGACTATTTTTTAATCAAATTTTATGTATGTATGTATTTATTTATTTATTTTTCAGGAATAGAATTTAGTGATTCATCATTTACATATAACACCCAATGCTCATCCCAACCAGTGTCCTCCTTAATGCCCCTTGCCCTTCCCCCAACCAACATCCCACCAACAACCATAAGTTTGTTTTGTGTATTTGGGAGTCTCTCATGGTTTGTCTCCCTCTCTGTTTTTATATTATCTTCCCTTCCCTTATGTTTATCTATTTTGTATCTTAAATTCCACATATGAATGAAATCATATGATATTTGTCTTTCTCTGACTTATTTTGCTTAGCATAATACACTCTAGTTCCATCCACATTGTTGCAAATGGCAAGATTTCATTCTTTTTGATTGCCAAGTCGTTTTCCATTGTGTATGTATGTATGTATATACATATACATCTATATATACACGACATCTTCTTTATCCATTCATCAGTCAATGGACATTTAGGCTCTTCCCATACTTTGACTATTGTCAATAGTGCTTCCATAAACACTGGGGTGCGTGTGCCTCTTCGAATCACCATTTTTGTATCCTTTGGATAAATACCTAGTAGTACAATTGCTGGGTCATAGGGTAGTTCTATTTTTAATTTTTTTGAGGGACCTCCATACTGTTTTCCAAAGTGGCTGCACCAGTTTGCATTGCCACCAGCAGTGCAAAAGTGTTCCCCTTTCTCTGCATCCTCACCAACATCTGTTGCCTAAGTTACTAATTTTAGCCATTCTGACAGGTTTCAGGTGCTATCTCATAGTGGTTTTGATTTGTGTTTCCCTAATGATGAGTGATGTTTAACATTTTTTCATGTGTCTGTTAGTCATTTGGATGGTTTTTTTTTTGAAAAGTGTCTGTTCATGCCTAAGACTCTTTCTTAAAGGTCATGTATTTTTCAGCTAAGCCTTTGATAGAAGAAATTTCAGTTAGATAACCCTGTGTCATTCAATTAAAGGCATAGATATGCAACCACAGGGAGACAAACTATTTCTTCTGCTCCCTAAATTGAGGATTAAGCTGGAGAGAACCCCAAAAATGAAGACTCAAATTTCTAATCTCCCTTATTCAGGGATGTATTGAGAAAAAGAGGGTTGACCAAGTGTGTAACATGCCCAACACAGTGCCACAGAAACAATGCTTGTTCACTTTTCCTTTTCCTTGTCCACTAGTTTTGTGGGGTTTGTTTTGTTTTGTTTTTTAGTTTGGTCCTGTTGTTTTGCTCTTTCTTAAAGTGGCAGAGATTATGATGTACATCATCTACAAAGAAGACTCCAAGGACACGAGTCCCTAGAGAGGTTGGGTCCTAAAGACACATCTCTTCTTCCAAGAGGAAGAGAAGAGAAAACTGAACCAAGATCATTCAACCACCAGGCACTAGCCAACATAAATGTAAGTGTAAACACCTACCAGCTTGTTCCAAAAGCCCTGCCTGGATGTTGCTCTCATTAGGAGTATCATGGACAGTTGTATGTATTGCTTAGTATATACACAAGGGTACCTACAATGGGGGCAAGTGAGAGCTGAAATCCATTCTGTGGTTAACAAACCATGCCCTGAACCCCAGCATTGGGCTGCATCCTTCTGAAGGATGGGGTGCCCATTTCTAATTTTACAAAGGTGCTAATAGAAAACTTCAGTTTTCCTACACACACCACTTCTGACACCAGATGTATGGAGTCTTTTTCCACATCGATCAATTCTCCAGCTCGAAGGACACCATTTGGGTATCCAGTCCTTTTTTTGCATGGGGAAGGGATGTCTGTCCTACAGTTCAATTCTGACACTACCTGGAGTTAGCACAGACCTCACAGGTTAAGGGTGAGCTCAGTCCTACAAGACTGCTCCAACTTCAGACACTAGTCACAAGTCCCAGATTGTCACCTGTACTTCTGACCAACAAGCTATAAATAGAGGGTTCCCACAACCCCTTCTTCAGCTTTGACAATTTGTTAGAATGGCTCACAAAACTCAGAAAAACATTTACTTACTATAATTGATTTATTACAAAAGATATTTTTTTAAACAATTTTAAGTAATTTCTACACCCAACTTGGGGCTTGAACTTACAACCCCAAGATCAAGAGTTGCACGTTCCACTAACTAAACCAGGCAGATGCCTCTTACAAAGGATATTTTAAAGGATGCAAATGAACAACCAGATGAAGAGATACGTAGGGCAAGGTCCCAGAAGCAGGCGCTTCACTCTCCATGGAGTTTGAAGTGTGCCACTCTCCTAGCATGTGGATGTGTTCACCAACTCAGAAGCCATCCAAACTCCTTTGCTTCAGGTTTTAATGGAGGCTTCATTACATAGCCATTGACTGATAAAAGCATTGGTAGATGGTACTTAACTCAACCTCTAGTCTTTTCTCCCTCCTCTGAGGTTGGGAATGTTGAGCTGAAAGCTCCAAACCTCTAATAACATGGTTGGTTCCCCTAGCAACCAGCAACCCCCCACCTTAGGTGCTTTCCAAAATCATCTCATTAATACAATCTCAGGTGTGGTTGAAAGGGGTTTGTTAGTGGGGCACCTGGGTGGCTTGGTCAGTTAAGCGTCCGACTTCGGCTCAGGTCATGATCTTATGGTCTGTGAATTCGAGCCCCGCGTCAGACTCTGTGCTGGCAGCTCAGAGCCTGGAGCCTGTTTCAGATTCTGTGTCTCCCTCTCTCTCTGCCCCTCCCCTGTTCATGCTCTGTCTCTCTCTGTCCCAAAAATAAACAAACGTTAAAAAAAATTTTTTTTTTAAAAAAGGGGCTTGTTAGTGAATAACAAAAGCCACTCTTTTCACATTTATGCTCCAGAAATTACAATGGTTTTAGGAATTCTGTGCCAGAGACTGGGGATGAAGACAAATATATATTTCTTATGTCAAAATATCACAGGTACTAAGGTACCCATTCTGCCATCCTCTCTTTGGAGGAATCTCCATTGTTGTCCCAGCCCATAGGGAAAGGTAAAGACTGACATGGCTGTGGTCGTCTGCTTGAGAAACTTCTGGAAAGTTAGCAAATGATGCAAGAGTGAATAAAGCTGGCTCTGATTTAAACTAGTTAAACATTAATTGTAGCAATAGCAATCTATCAAAGTTGAAAAGTGCTTCACTTTGATCCACCTCTGTAGATCGTGATTTAGCATCCAAGAAGGGGACAATCATAAAGTGTATTCTGTTCCTCTTTCCTCCTATGACATTATACCTAGCAGTTTTAAATGAAAGGCTGAACCTTAGGATCTCCTCACCAGTTCCATTCTAAGACTCGCTCTCCAGCTTCATGTGGAACCCAGAAATTCCATTCTAAGCCATTCTGTCTTGTTCAACATAATCACCCTTTGATGGGTTTTTTGTTTGTTTGTTTCCTACTCATATCATGGTCCTTTCCTTAATTTTTCACCTTTAGGAGATGGAGTTGATTGGCAAAGACAAGAGAAAGAAAAGAACCAAGACAGACAAGTCCAAGGCACCCCAAGGGGAGAGAGAAGGAAAGGTCCACAGGAAAACAGAGGCTTCTGTTGGTAAGGGAGTGTGCTCTTGAGGAATGACCCAGGAAAAGACACCTAATGGGAGCTGAGAGGTGTCACAGAGAATCATCATGAATCTAATGAGACAAACTACCTAATTTTGAGTCTTTTTTTTTAATATATGAAATTTATTGTCAAATTGGTTTCCATACAACACCCAATGCTCATCCCAAAAGGTGCCTTCTTCAATGCCCATCACCTACCCTCTCCTCCCTCCCACCCCCCATCAACCCTCAGTTTGTTCTCAGTTTTTAAGAGTCTCTTATGCTTTGGCTCTCCTGTCTTTTTGACTACCTTGGCCAAGACAGTATTGCAGACTTACTTCATGTGAGTATCTTAGGAGATAGAGAAGAGGAGAGAGGAAACCAGGGTTACCCAGAGACCTGTGATCAAGAGAGGAAAAAACAATAGCACCTATTTACTGAATACGCACTGTACTAAGAGCCCTGCATATATGACATCATGAAATCCTTAAAACATCTCCGTAAAGTACGTGCTATTATTATATCATGTAGTGGTTGAGGCTTGACAGAGATTGAGTGGCTTGCATAACCCCAAACAGATCAAACAGTAAAGTGGTGGGTCCAAATACATGCTCTTACCATGGTCTCTATGAACTAATAACTGTACCATAATTTGAGAATTGGGCAGTGAAAGCATTGGGAAGGGGAAGGATAAAACAAGCTCTGAATTATTACCCCAGTTACCATTTTTCTTCTTGGTTCCCTGTGTTGCACCTTACTAGAAATTTATATTCCCATGCTTCTGAAAACTTTCTTTAGCCTAAAATTTACACCTGTTCTTTCCTGGCCACATGATTCAGAAGACAAATCAAAGGTTGTCAGAAAGGATGACACTGGATCATCTCCTAGGCTCAATCTATTTTTGAGATTTACTTTTTAAAGTCTTGCTGACTTTACATAGTTGTAGCCCATAACTTGGTTTGCATTGGCAGGACTGGGAAAAAGAAATACTTGCAGTCCCCAGAGGTGAATTGAGGAAGAGTTCTTAGAGTATGGAAGGCTTAAGCTTTGCCAGGTTACAAAGCTACAACCTCAAGCCAGACTCTTGAGACAGGACTTTCCATCTGTATCTGTAGTTTTTCCTCTGGAGAGTCTTGCCTCTACCATAGGTCAGAGTGAAACAACTTTTTTAGTAACAAGACTATTGAATTACAGTTGATCCACATAGGATAAGGCAGTTTCTCAAAGGGTGGTCTGTGCACTACCCTTCTCAAAACACTTGGAGTGCCTGTGAAAATGCAGATTCCTACAGAGTCCGACTCTAGGAGTGGGGCTTAGTAATCTGCACCCCAAGTAATTCCATTGCACACTAAAGTCTAAAAGCTACTGAAAAGGATACAGAGATCACATTTACTTAGCTACACTTCTGTCTCCCCAATTATTCTCCTCCAGGAAAGTCAAAGGAATCAAAGACTGAAAAGAAATCAGGGCTAATTCCCAAAGAAAGGAATCCAAGAACCAAAAGGAAAAGGATACGGAAGGAAAGGAATCTGGAAATAGCAGCAGAACTGAATGGGCCTAATATCATTAACTCTAAGGAAATAGAAGACACTTCAGATAGAGGTTTCTCTCCTTCCAGTTCTCTTGTAGAGGACCCTTGGCTTTCCGCCAAGTATGATGCTCCGGAGAGCCAAGTGTCCATAGATGGAAGATCATCACCCATGCAGACTATACCTGTCACTAGAAACACGGAATCTAAAGAAGAAAGAAGCTATGATGACCCTTCCAAGGTGAGGTCCAATATTCTTAGTTTGGCCAGAGAGATTTCTGTTCTCACTCGTACAACTGCAGATGTGGGAAAAACAGCCCCAAATCATATTGCAGTTGTTGAAACAGCAGTACTACATAATGGTTTTATTTGTTCTACTTTGATACCTTCTGACCCTTTAAGAAGCCAGAGCTGATCCAAGACACAATTTGTCAAAGCCCCTCTGAAATGATGCATTCTGTGAGGCCCCCAAACTGCCACAGCATATACTCATCCCTTAAAGAGCAGGAAGTTGGCACAGGCCTCACAGTCACAGGGAAAGGTGGGTTCTGGCCATCAGAGCCAAGTACATGCATATCCCTGACTTGGCCTGGAACTAAATCTTTGCCGGCCTCCCAAAGGCTATGGAAATTTCTCCTTTCCTGATTTGCTTTTCTGTGGCACACAGCTGTGCCACAGGCAGTTTATACACACGTGTCTGTCTTTACAAGGTGCTTTGGCATATAAAAGTAATTTTGTTCCAGGAGCCTTGATTCTAATGTCAGGTATTTAAGAGAAAAAACTGAGTCAGTGTAAGGAATATTACCCTTGAAAATCCCTGCAGTGAATCAAAAATAATACCATACAGATACATCTCTCAATAAGACCAACCCAACCAATTTTTCCTCTGCTCTTGGGATAAATCACAGTTTTTCCCACTGAGATGAAGGTGCCAAACTGCATTTAGAGGTCTTGTTGTAGGGGGGAAGAGAGTATCTTTAAACACTACAATTATACCCACAGCTAAACCACTATGGTTGAACTCACATAAGTTACATGTGTGTATGGTACAACTCTGCTGAATCTCATTTAATCTTTACAGCCACACTTGTGAGCCAGATGTAGTTATCCCCATTTCAGAGACCTAGAAACTGAGGCTTGGAGATAAGAGACCATTTCCAGAAGCCACACAACCATAAAATGATAGAGCCAAGACTTAAACCCAGGTCCTTTGGCTCTAAAATCAGGGTTCTTGTCAGTTTTAAATCATTATATTTTTCTTTATTTTATAATCCATGGTCTTCCAAAAAGGATTTCAAGAAAGATCTTGACTTTATAGTTCCCAATATTCCCAGCTGCCTACACTATGGAATTCTGCTCTACACCACAGATGAAAATTTTAAGCTGTGGGTAGAACATTCCTGAGCCTGCCAGAGAATCAGAATTTCTTAGCTTTATCGTTAATCCATAGTACTGTTCTGCCTCTGCACAGGCTAAAAAGCCAGGAAGTTTCACCCCAAGTTGGATACACCGAGCTCCCATAGAAGAGTTGCATTCAAAATTGCCCTTGTGGCTTCTGACTGTGGCGGGGACGATAGGGAGAAAAAGAAAGCTAAAACACTTCACATAAACCGAGGGAACCTTTCGCTGAGAAAGTGGGTTTGCATGGGATTAAATGTAAGTCTAACACATTTATATCTAAAACCGTCCCTGGTAAGATAGCCTTTGTCTAGAACCTGTGGGTCCCAGGGCTTCACTAGGATCACCTGAGAAGCTTTTTAAAACCAAGGCCTCCCACCTAGATATTCCCCCTTGAATTGGTGGGTGGGGCTTTGGCCTCAAGTAATTTTTAAAAGCTCCTTACGTGTCCATAAAGTGCAGCTAGCATTGAAAACTCCAGACATACGATGTGTCAGACATTATTTTGGCAATTTCACTAATTCAATTAATCCCAGTAACAGCCCCAAGAAGAAGACAATGTCAGGGAAATTAAGTTGTGACCTCCAAATCCTGAAGCAAGTAAGAAACTTGGACCCAGGCCAGTCAGACCCCAGAGCCCAAGCCAGAGGCTGCGGTCTGTGGGGAAAGCACTCAATGACTCCATCTCTGATGAGAGACAACGTACCCGGTGGGGTGGAGGAGGGCTCACCCTTGAGACACGCTCTCCCTTTCACTAAAGAGCACTCTGGTTCCACAGACCCTCCTCGCCAAGAGAGAGCAAGAAGCTTCCAGGGACAGGCTGCGAGCAGAGAGGGCTGAGATGAGACGCTTGGAGGTGGAGAGGAAGAGAAGGGAGCAGGAAGAGCAGAGGCAGCTCTTGCAGGAGCAGCTGGAGAGGGCAGAGAAGATGAAGGAGGAGCTGGAGCTGGAGCAACGCGCCCGCGCGGAGGAGATCCGGTGGGTAGAGCAGCGGGAGGCTGTGGCCACACCAGGAGGCAGCAGGAAAGGCTGGGGTTAACCTCCACCAGGGACAAAGTTGGTTCTGAGGCTAATGCCCGGTAGTAAAACAGCACATCTCATTTTCCTCTGTCCTCAGTTATCCTAGGAACAACCTGGCCCAAAGATCAGGTGTGGTGTCCTAACCATTAGAGTCTTCCTGGGAGGGCTTGGTGACGCAGCCCAGCAAACGTTTGTTGAGCCCCTACGACTGTCTGCATTGCGCTAGATTCTCTCAGAGGCATTGACTCATCTAATTTAATATTCTTCTGTGAGACTGGAGTTTCAAGATTCATCTTGTAAGAATGAAAAATGAAGCTCTGGGAACTTAAGTCCCCTACCCCCAGAGCACAGGGCTGTCTGGTGAAACTTCAGGCTTCTGGTTCCGGGCTGGTTGTGCTCTTGCTTCTGCTCTTTACTCAGGCTTCCCTTAGAAACCCCACTGTCCTCTGAATGGGATGCTCCGTGTGGCCTGTAGCTGCAGGGCCTCCACCAGGGGCACTGCCTGCCAGCTAGTCTCGCAAGGTTGCCCCCGTGCTTTCCGCCATTTCCCTGACCATCTTGTGGGTTTTCTCAGGCTGAGGAAACAGAGACTCGAAGAAGAACGGCAGCAGCAGGAGGAGGAGGAGAGGAAGCAGCAGCTTCAGTTGCAAGTGGCCCAGGAGAGACTCCGGCAGCAACAGGACAAATTCCGGAGGAAACTGCAAGAACTGCAGAGAAAAAAGCAGCAGGAGGAAGCCGAGAGGGCTGGTGAGGGACGTTCTGGAGGAATCTGCATCTCCTGTCTATCTGGGGCAGAAGTATTTTTATCCCACTGTGGGTGTTCACTTGAATCTCCCCAGAGTTATTCCTATCTAGGCCTAGTGTGTGAAGCACTCTAAATGTATAAGCTATTTTTTTTCCAAAGTGATTAATATGTGTGACTGCAGTGAGTTGAGCTAGAAGATCAAACTAAGACAGACTCACTTGTGGAAATGACTCTTGGGTCCCACTCCCAATTCAGTCATCTCCCAAACTGGGATTCTGCCCCTCCCATTGCCCTTTTAGCATTGCTCAGGAGGTGCCTAAACTGGAGACATAGCTCTGCCCCTTGCTTCTTTCCCTAGCAGATAGAAACAAAACATCCGGATAGCTTCAGGGCAGCCTTTCAGGTGCTTAAATGTGGAATTTCTACTGCCTCACTTTTGAGGAAGTGGAAGGAACGTCAGTAGATGACACTCTTTATAGGCTGGTCAGTCCAGCTGAGCAAGCACCCGGTTTCTCCAGACCCCGATCTGACGCCCCTCCCCAATGATCTGCATACCACCTGTGAGTACCCCAGGCTCTGGAAAATTCTCCCCTAAGGTTTTGTACTAATTGCACAGTGTAGGTGCTTGACACTTAAGTACTCTTAAATTTATAATTTAACCCCAATATGATCCCCACAGAGGATCTGGCAGCCTGCTGGCAGGTAGGCAGCACAATCTCATGGGGAGTCCCTGGGAATCACAGTGAGAGAACTGTTTTCTCCAGTAATGAGACCCCTGATGAGCCTACCCCCTTTCTATTCTGCAGAGGCTGAGAAGCAAAGGCAGAGGGAATTGGAAATACAGTTAGCAGAAGAACAAAAACGCCTGATGGAAATGGCTGAAGAAGAACGGCTAGAGTACCAGCGGAGGAAACAGGAAGCAGAAGAGAAGGCTCAGCAGGAAGCAGAGGAGAGAAGGCAAAGGGAAGAGGAAGCAGCAAGGCTGGCCCTGGAGGAAGCTATGAAACTGGTGCAGGAACAAGCCAGGTAGGGGCTTATTTGGGCAACAGTTGCCATAGGGGGATTGTTTCAAGGTCTTGATGCCCTGGTGCTAGCACTACACTTGCACTGCCTTTGGACAAGTGAAGTTCTCCCACTTTCCATAAGCATGTTTTGAAAGAACTAAAAAACAAAAGGCTCTTTTGCTGCAAATGTCACAGAATTGCTTCATGGCTTATATAACTTGTATTGAAGCTGGGAGTTTAGATTTCATCTATCTCAGCCCTCTGGTTTACAGATGAGAAAACTGAGTCCCGAAGAAGGGAAGGATCTTGATCAAGGCCCAATAGTGTTAGAGGCAGTACCAGGACCACATCTTAGACCCCTGATTCTGAACCACTGTCCTTGGTATTTTTTGGTTACCTATTGTAACCACTGGGAATTCAGGAGTGAGCAAGACAGATGTCTCTTCTCCCATGGCATTTATATTCTAGTGCTGGGGCAGGGAGACAAATAAATAAAAATAAAGATTTGTTTTAGCCAGTAACAGATGCTATACAGAAAACATTTTTTTTTATTTTTTTTTTTATTTTTTTTTCAACATTTTTTATTTATTTTTGGGACAGAGAGAGACAGAGCATGAACAGGGGAGGGGCAGAGAGAGAGGGAGACACAGAATCGGAAACAGGCTCCAGGCTCTGAGCCATCAGCCCAGAGCCTGATGCGGGGCTCGAACTCACGGACCGCAAGATCGTGACCTGGCTGAAGTCGGACGCTTAACTGACTGCGCCACCCAGGCGCCCCACAGAAAACATTTTAAACATGTGATAGGATTGCAGGAGGCTTAGGTTAGATTGGTCAGCCAGGGCAAAACTTCTCAGAAAAAGTGGATATAAGGTGAGACCTGAATGACAAGGAGTTAGCCACATAAACATCTGGAAGAAAAATATTCTACAGGCAAAGGTTCTAAGTGCAAAGGTTCAAAGGAAGGAGACTGGCATGTTGGAAGAATATAAGAAAGTCAGTATGGCTGGAATGAAGTGAACAAGGCACAAAGAATACTTTCAGATGAGGTCATATTAGTAAGCTAAGACCAGATCTCATGAGAGCCTTGTTAGGAGAAATAGCACAGAATTAGTTAGTTCTCAAGGGCCAATGACATTTTCCCCCTTTTCTCTAAAAATAGTAATGATCATTTCATCATCGTTGATAATAGAATTTCTTGAGGAATGTGGTTTCAACTTTTTTTTAAGAAAGAACTTTTTTGTTTACTTTTTTAAAATATTTGAGAGAGAGAGGGCATGTGCACAAGGGGGGTTAGGGGCAGAGAGAGAGGAAGAGAGAGAATCCCAAGCAGGCTCTGCACGGTCAGCACAGAGCCCAACACATGGCTTGATCTCATGAGCTGTGAAATCATGACCTGAGCTGAAATCAAGAAGTGGACGTTTAACCAACTGAGCCACCCAGGCGCCCCTCAACTGACTCTTTAAAAACTAGGTCTTCTATAGTTGCTTTCTCATGTATTTCTACTCCTTAGTGAAAGCGTCAAATAGACATCCCCCTTTAGAACTATCAAAATTGAAGGGCAAAGAAGCACAACACAGAAAACCATGTGAGTCCAATCTTGACTGTAAACAGTTTACTCCCTGCAATGTATTTTCTACAACTTAAGCTGAATGTAAACTCTTTAAGGGACCAAAAAGAGAAGGCAGCCAGAACAATTCTATTTTGAGGTTTTCCACCTAACTGGAGTTGTTCCTCTCCTGGACTTTACTCAGATGGTTTTTTGTTGTTTTCCAGCTGTTGTGTGAACTACAAAACAGATCGTTAGAGAAGTTGATTCAATTTCAAAATTATGTATTCCATGTATCACAGCAGCAGGACTGGGTTCTTAAGTATTGAGACCAAAAGCAAGCGAAACTAAGGCTAGTCCAAGTAGCTGAAAGCAGAAAACCTAGTGACTAAAGTGGTGTGTGAGGGGTAGAGTCTCACTCCACCAAGGGTTAGAACTTGATCCCAGCTGGCTTTACTTCATCTTCACTTCTGGGACTTTGGCCCAGGTACTTTTAACTTCTCTGGTCTGTTTCATCTCTAAAGCAAGGGAGTTCCTTCCAACAAGACAAGTTTAAGAACTTTGAGTTTGCCCTTTCCTTTAACTTTCCCAGGAGAAGGTTCATGAAACTCTAAACCTCATGTGTAAAGTTACTAAATGAATAGAGTATAATCTTCCACTAAAATGAAAGATCGGTAGTAGTCTAACTGATGGTTGCTCAAATCAAAAGTTTTTCTACTGGCTTATAGGGACTATTTCTAAGATGCTTAATCATACTGGGATTGTGGGTGGGTTGTCTCCTTAGGCAAAAAGCTGCTTTGAAGAAACATCTTCAGTTCCACCAAGAACTCTCTAAGGAAGCCAGTGGCCTACAGTGGACACAGAACATTTCCAGATCATGGGTGTTCTCTTACTTCCAATTCCTACAAATACCCAAACCTTAAGGCTAGAAGAAACCTTAAAAGTAAGTTGGGAGGTGGTGACAGAAAAAGAGAAACTTCTATAATGAAGTTGCATTTCATTTGGTTCACCTCAACCCACACCTAGCTTCACTCTAGGACCTCCATTCCCACCACCCTTCCCCACCACACATAATTAACTAAAGTCTTCATTCACCTAAATCCATCATGTTCTGTAGAACCCCATAAATCCAGAAACTTTAGTGCCTAAAACTGCCCAATAATTTCATGTTTGAATTTCAGCAAATTCAGTTTAACTTCAGTTAGTAAGACACTAACATCATCTTAGGATAGTCAAAGTATTTGATTTCACAATGTGTCTGAAGGAGTTGATAAAATGGAAATTCCATAATGCAAATAATTCTGAATAGGTTAAGGAGTTAATTCATATATACATACTCTTTTTTTTTTTTCAACGTTTTTATTTATTTTTGGGACAGAGAGAGACAGAGCATGAACAGGGGAGGGGCAGAGAGAGAGGGAGACACAGAATCGGAAACAGGCTCCAGGCTCTGAGCCATCAGCCCAGAGCCCGACGCGGGGCTCGAACTCACAGACCGCGAGATCGTGACCTGGCTGAAGTCGGACACTTAACCGACTGCGCCACCCAGGCGCCCCTATACATACTCTTTATAAGGCAAAATCACATCTATTTCAGCCTAAACATCTAAAATATGCTGCCTGTTGAAAACAAGGTAAGCACTTGATAAATGTTCATTTGAGTAAAATTAGCTGTTTTGTGAGGGTATTCTCACTTCCTCAAAGTATAGATTCTAGAGCTGCACTGGTTTGTAAGTAGCCACATGTAACTATTTCAATGTTAAAACATTCAATTTTTCATTCACAATAGCCACATTTCAAGTGCTCAATAGCCACATGTAGCCACTGGCTACCTTACTGGACAATACAGATGTAGAACATTTCCATCATCATAGAAAGTTCTACGGGACAGCACCATTCTAGACTCTTGATAATTAACAAATCTTGAGGGTCTGTTTCTGTCCCTATTAAGATCCAACCACTCACGGGGGCGCCTGGGTGGCAGTCGGTTAAGCGTCCGACTTCAGCCAGGTCACGATCTCGCGGTCCGTGAGTTCGAGTCCCGCGTCGGGCTCTGGGCTGATGGCTCAGAGCCTGGAGCCTGTTTCCGATTCTGTGGCTCCCTCTCTCTCTGCCCCTCCCCCGTTCATGCTCTGTCTCTCTCTGTCCCAAAAATAAATAAACGTTGAAAAAAAAATTTTAAAGAAAAAAAAAAAAAAAGATCCAACCACTCACATAATTTCCCCATTTTTAAAATCATATGGACACTATTAAGGAACAGACTTAATTTTTAACATCTCTTTAAATATCAATAAGTATTTAGTAAGTATCTGTCATAGAATTATCATCAAAACGTATGAAAGATGATTACAAGATCTATAAAAGGATGTTAGAGAAAGCAGTATCTGAACCAGAATTTTCCCACAAATTTCCTTTGGCCCTACTCTGTATCTGTGTGCAACTGAAAAAGTATTTACAGATGATTCCCTCAAATTTCTCACCAATGCTTGTAAAGTATTTACTCTCTATAGGAACTGTATTTCTACAATCCTGATGTCAAGCTTAATTTCAAGTCTGTATTGCTGACTTGCTGTATTGCTTTATGTAAAAAATAAATAAAATGGCCAAAACACTATCAATCATAGTAATTTTAAGTATGTCACAAAATTTCTCAAAATTGTCCATCCTACTTGCACATTCATTCATTCATTCGAGTCATTCAGTAATACTTAAGCAGATGAGAAAGGAGCATGTCAAATAATACAAGAACAGAAGAAAAAACACTCAAGGAAAACATCCTTGTGGGGGAAATTCCCATTACTGACTTTATTTTCTACCTTCTTTTACAAATTGAGGATGTTGCAGTCAAGCACCAGGTAGGGCAGCTACACTAAATGTTATTCAAGATCCCTTCCAAATCTGATATTCTATTAAACTGTTGCTATGAAAGTCCTATTTTATCAGCACTACTACACCAGATAAGCACACATCAGTAAGTTAACCATAGCAGAATGCGATGCATTTTAGAAGAATCTGATAAACTAAAAATGAGATTATTTCCCCAGTACCTAAGCTCCACCACCTAAATGCTGAGAACCTTCAGAGATGCAAACAAAATTAAGACACCAAACTATATACTTACACGTTCTGGATAGCTCAAATAGCCTTATCAAGTTTGTTACTCAGGGCTGACAGAAATATGCAATTCAATGAGGATTTTCCAGAAATGGGCCTAATTCCTAGTCACTATTTAAATGCCAGGTGACAGTCTAAAGGCTCTATTTTACCTAGACTATATACATATAACACAAGTAATTTTTCAGCTAGGGTCAGACTTAGGAATTTTAAGGCAAGCCAACTATTTCTCAACAGGTGACTTGAGTAGGGTTATATAAGCTGTAACAATTTTTATAAAATGTGCTAGAGACAGGTTTCACCTGCTCTTCTAAAGTATTCAGATGACTATTCTATCTAGGATAACATGAAATTAAATTCTGTGTATGCATACATATACTAAATTCTGTGATTCATTAGAGTTAAAAGGTTATACTCTCTAATAGGAACTAATTTGGTACTTTAGTTTTACAGAGATTAAATATTTAAGATATAAAGTAATAAAAGGAAAATATAAACAAAGTATACCACACTTTAACTAAGCAGAGAACATTTTGTAAATTGTTAAAGGAAAAACTTAAAATTATCAATATAAATCAATAATTTTTGGCATGCCCATTTATTCAATATGATTGGGTAACTAGATCATATATATGCACCATACAAGAATATCAAGTTTTTAAAAAAAACAGAACACTGAGTATTTAAGAAGGTAGTGTGGCCTTAATTAAATCCTTGATTCAAAGGCACTTCAGTAACTTTCAGTGCTTCAAAGTCATGATCATCATCACTGTACAGTACTGAAAAATTTATTTGTACCACGTACAAACAATAATTTCCAGTATTATGCAAAAAAGACCTTATGTTTTAAGCATTATCTTTTTTCTTTCTATACAATTAAAAATAAAATGAACATTAGTACGGTTTTTACAAATATTTTGTTTATTTTAATGAAGCTGGTACAGACAATGTCCATTTAAAACCCATATCCCAGGCCAAAAAGTACAAATAAAATCAAAAAGAGCAGTGTTCTGTTGAATACACTTCTGCATGAATAACTTTATTAACTGCTAATGAAAATTAGAACTTTTCTGGGATCTTCTGACAAGACTTTTCTTTTATCTTAAAATGCTTTCTCTTCAGTGAAGCCATCTTTGGAGTTAGTCATTACTCTCACGATCTCTGTCATCTCGACTCCAGCCTGCTATTTCTCTTCTTTTGGTCCAGACCCTCAAATTTTAAAAGAAGCTTCAAGTTAAGGAAAAGTCATTTTTCCACAGTTCAGTTCTCTGAAAAACTTCCATCTCCCACTGAAAGTCATAGTCCAGGAGTGAAGCAATCACATACTAGAACTTCAGGGCCAAATGGAAAGTCATTATGAACACTCGCATTGGTCGATCTTATTTATCACAAGCCTGAAAATGCACAGTCCTGGAAAAGGTGGTGGCCTCTCTGTGCACACATGTAATTTTTTTAAAAAGGAGAGGGTGACATGAAGGGGGCTGAGGTTTGATCACCAAAAATCAGCACAATGAAAACAAGTGATAATGAATAATGGGCACTAGAATTCAAATTACCAGATGTTTTAAAGAGATGGGGTGCCAGTTTTCATTTCCGTTTTGAACACCACATTACAAAAGAACTATTTTTAAAAATAAAAAAGGATTGAGGGTAAAGAAAAAAAATAAAAAGAATATCTAAATCGTTGAATGACCCCCTGTTTGTTCCTGATAAACTTCAATCACATCTTCTTCCTCCATTCCCAGCTGTAAAAGAGGGGGAAAAAAATATGTTAGAATACAAAAGCACTATTTTTTAACTGGCTGCAATTATGTGGCCACTGTTTTACTGTTTTAAAGTGCAAAAAAATGCTTAAGTGATCCACAGTTACCCTGTTCTAAGATTAAGAATCTGGGTTTCCTTTATTTTTTTTTTAATGTTTTAATGTTTATTCATTTTTGAGAGAGAGAGAGAGAGAGAGAGAGAGAGAGAGAGAGAGAGAGAGAGAGAGAGAGAGAGAGAGAGAGAGAGAGAAGGTGGGGGAGGGGCAGAGAGAGGGGGAGACACAGAATCCGAAGCAGGCTCCAGGCTCTGAGCTGTCAGCACAGAGCCTGACGCGGAGCTTGAACCCACAAACCATGAGATCATTACCTAAGCTGAAGTCAGAAGCTTAACCAACTGAGCCACCCAGGCACCCCAAATCTGGGTTTCCTTTAATATAAAGAACATAGAGGTATATCTGTCCTCCTGATTCTGCCTATGAAGTCATTCATCTGACCCAGCTGAGCCAAATTCACCTCCTAATATACTTAGCATATAAAGTGTGTTTTTTAAAAGTACCTCAAAAAGAGCTTCAAATCTAACGAAACATGTATTTAACAGTTTAAGCAACAGTTTGATAGTATTTTCTAAAAAATCATTTTTTACTTCTAGATGTAATTACCTTATAGAATCTCTTTCATTTATTTCAAAAAAACTTGATCTCACTTTGAAATATATGTGGTTTTAGTTAGAAAAATACTACCTAAAGATTCATTTCTAAGTAGTTTGCTTTGTCATCTACAATTCCTTCTGGCATATAACTATTAGTTTTTGGCAGTGACCACTCTCAATATAGAAACGTTATCCATACATCTATTGTTACTTGATAACTCCAATTTTATACGCTAGATTTGTCAGCCTTGCCCTTCTCAATTCTTAAAGAAAAAAAAGGGGAATCCTTCAAAATGCCTTTTACAGAACACTAATAAGCAAAGTAGAGGCAATTATTGTGTGGTTGGTTGTTTGTTTTTAATGTGTTTATAAGCACTGAAATATTCTGGAATTTTTTCATAAAGACATTAACATGGTTGCCTCTGAGAAATGGGAATGTAGAGATATTCAGAGTGGTAATTACTTCCCACTTTATATACTTTGGTATTTTGTTTTATTACTTTTAACTATGATTATTCTTTATTTTAAAAAAGAGTACATAAAGGGGCATGGTGTCATACAGAAACCTAAGTATGACCCTCAGTGAGGGTAAAGGACCATGAATCTGTTGATTCTGTTGTGCCATCAGGGTTCAGAAGCACTGTAACAGGCACACTGAAAACAAAAACTAGCCATTGTTTCCACTAAACTACAGTGGATCACAAAAGCAAATGAAAAATAAAGGAAAGTCTAAGATCAGCGAGAAAAGTTATAGGTGACATTTTTGGTGCAGAATTACAAAATATGAAAAGATACTCTAAGAAATCTAAAAATAAAACAGACATGGGGGCACCTGAATGGTTCAGTCGGTTGAGTGTCCAACTTGATTTCGGCTCAGGTCATGATCTCACAGTTCCTCCATTCGAGCCCTGCACAGGGCTCTGTGCTGAGAGCAAAACATGCTTGTGATTCTCTCTGCCCCTCCCCCACTCTCTTTCTCTCTCAAAATAAACTTAAAAAAAAACTAGACATGGATTTAGGACTTTTTAAGTGATTCAGGCTGGCTCTAGTGTTATGGATATCTTGGTTGTGGTCTATTTATGAATGTTAAAATAATTATTAAAGATGCTGGGGCGGGGGCGCCTGGGTGGCTCAGTCGGTTAAGCGGCCGACTTCAGCTCAGGTCATGATCTCGCGGT